GGTCAGACTTGGCACACTCACTCTTTCAATATGCACGGCTACTGTAGGAGGTAGGGTTACTATTTCAAGCATTATATCGATAACAAAACTGAAGCTCAAACCTGCCAAGGCCACCCAGTATCTGGCCAGTTCCTCTCTCTATTATTCCCACACCACTCTGCAGGACTAGAGAGCAGAAACACTGCAGCCAGACCGGGTAGAGCCTGAGTGTGAGCTCAGGATGCTCAGGCGTTGCCTGTCCAAGTTGAGTTTGCAATTATCATGCCTCATCTTTGTTTTTCCTGTCCTATGTTCCTCAATCGGCTCCTCAATGTTCCTCAAGTGTGCAAGGTAACCAGAATCGCTTAGCTGCCTCTGTGAATGGCAGCGGCATTTCCTGGCCAAGCCACAGTTGCTATCTTTTTGCTGTTACAACGCTGGTTATGAAACCAAATAGTTGTAATTGATAGGCTACAACTGCAATAACTCAGAGCTAAAGGGTCTGAGCCAGGTTGTGGTCAGCTATAGCCACAGCCTCTGTACAGGGAGGGGCCCAGCACTTTGAAGGGGGGCTGTAGCCCATGATGCATTGTGGGGAAAGTGCCCATGGGGTTCACCTGCTTGAAGAAGCTCAGAGTCTAAAGAGGAAGAGATAGAGACAGTGGGGTGATGTCTAGGGCAGGGCTGGCTGGCCCATGACCCCTCAGAACAGATGCCCTCCAAGGTGAGGATGTCAGTGGGGTACAGTTCTGGTCCTGCAGTCAAAACCTGGACTCTATCTTGACTGCCATGTGCACTGCTGTGTGTCTTTGGCTAGTTGGTCAGCTTCTTAAGCATCTACTAACTTAATCTGTAAATGAGGAAGTAATAAGTAGCTATTTAAGAGAGGATAAATAAAATGTATGTGCTTTGAATGTAAGAAAAAGAAATGTTTGTGGTTTTTTTTTTTTTTTAATTGATATTGACAGGTCTCCCTGGTGGCACAGGGGTGAAAGTCTCAGCACTATCAATCTATCGCCAGCCACTGCAGCACGAGTTCAATCCCTGGCCAGGGAGGACACCCACATAGGGCAGCAGACTTCTCTGGACCTGCCCGTTGCTCCCCTCAGCACTGTATTTCAGCAGATCCGCCTGGTCTTTTCCCCACTCTGTCTCAGGTGAATCCTCTCACCCCTACCACCACACCTCTGGCCTGTACCCCAGTTCTTGCATGTATAAATAAAAAGAAATCCTTAAAAAATTGATACTGACATAAGATAAAAATCAACCGTTTTAAAGCAAACAATTCATTGGCATTTAGCACATTTATGTTGTGCAATGACTACCTATCTGGTTTTCAAACACATCATTGTCCAAAAAAGGCATTCCATTATGAAGGCGCTCTCCACTTCCCCCCACATACACACCAGGGAAGGGGAAGTTCTCATGTCAACAGCTGGTCTTGTTAGCTGAGACTCTTGCCTACCCTCGTGAGCCTGAGTGCTGTACACAATGACTTTGGAGATTTGTTCAGATCCCCAACAAGGCTTTTGCCAGCATGAAATTCTGGCTTCTGGGCACTTGAATCTCTAATTCAAACCAGATTTCACCAGCTCTTCCTGGAATTGGGCCTGGGGAACTCATGGAGGAACTTTTTAAAAAGGTATGTTTTATCTGGCAAAGAGTTAGAGAAATCTGACTGTAATTAAACGTGTAAAATTTTATTTCTTGTGTTTTCTTATTGGCTGAAAACCTTGTCAAGGGGGCACCCATTAGGCCTCCACTCAGGGACAGTTTGGGAATTGCTGGCCTACTGGAAACATTTAGTTGAGTACCTGGGAATGCAGGTCCTCTGGGTAAATGATTTCATTTCATTTTCATTATGCACTCCTTCTTGGTAATTAATAAAATCTCTACTGGGAAAATTACATTTAAAAAGATTGTTAAAATGGAGGTATAATTTCTATATGACTAAAGTTCTTCTAAGGGTGCAGTTTTATGAGTTGTGACAAATACATATAGTCATATAACTGCTACCACAATCAAGACATGGAATAGTTCCATCACCCCATAATTCCCTCAAGCCTCCTGGTGACCCCTCTTCTAACCCCAGTCCTGATAGTTTTACCATTTTCAGAAAATGGAAGCACATAGTATGTGTTGTTCTGAGATTGGCATCTTTTACTCACACTGATGCATCTGAATTTTCTCTCCGGTGTCGAGTGTATTGATAGGCTTGTTATCATTACTGTTGTTGCTAGTATCCCAACTTATGGGTGAATCACAGTTTGCCCATTTATTTTCCAGATTTTGGGATTGCATTCAGTTTTGAGGAACTCTGAATAAAGCCATTAAAAACACTCATATTTGGGTTTTTGTGCAAATATTCTCTTAGGGAAGTACCCAGGAATGGGTTTGCTGGGTTGTATAAAAGGCTTATATTTAATTTTTTAAGAATTCCCAAGCTATTTATAATAGTCAAGTTGTGGAAACAACCTACTTGCCCAAGGACAGTGTATTAGGAAGATGTGTTTTAGATACACAATGGGATAGACTCAGCTGTAAAATAAAGAGATAAACTCTTGCCATTTATACAATGTGGGTGGAACTGAAAGTAGTTATATTAAGTGAAATAAGTCAGAAGGACAAAGACAAATAATGGGTGGTTTCACTTATATGCAGAATGCAGAGAAAAAAGACAAAGGGCCAGACAGAACCAAACCAATAACAAACACTAAAAATCTGACTGCAGAATTGCGGCTATCAGAGAGGGAGAAAGAGGGGGATAAGTATATGGGGGGGGTGAGCAGAGTATGTTGGAGGAACAGGGGTGCCTTGCTGATGGGCATGGTGTGGTGACATATATCTGAAAAGGGGTGACCCTATACCTCCAAATCATATGCAATGTGTAAACCAATGTTACCTCAATAAAAAAAAATAAGTAAAATAGAAACATTAGGGGGACAAAAGGATTGTGTTATTTTTGTATGCTGTCATCAAGGGGTTTTGATTGCTCTGCCTTAGCCAGGGTTTGGTATTGTCAGTTTTCAAAATTCAACACTTCTAGTAGATATGTAATAGGCAATAACATTTTCAGATTATGTAATTTTTTAAGGTTTATTTATTTATTGCATATAAGAACTGGGGTGTAGGCCAGCGGTGTGGGGGAGGGGTGAGAGGAATCAACAAAGACAGAGTGGGGAGCAGAACAGGCATATGTACTTAAGTACACTGCTGAGGGGAGCAGAGGGCGGGTCAGGAGAGGTCTGCCAAGCCATGTGTGTCACCAGCCTGGCCCACCAGGGATTGAACTCATGCTGCAGTGGCTGGTGACAGGGTGATATCACTGTCTTTAACCCTGGTGCCACTAGGGAGGCCCTGGACTATGTAATTTTTGATAAAGACTATGATGGGCTAAACTGTGGCCACCTCTGCAGTCCCCAGGACCGCAGAATAGGATTTTATTTGGAAACAGACATCTTTACAGAGGAAATTAAGTTAAAACGTGGTCATTAGCAAGGGCCCTCACCCATATGATAATTCCTTATAGGAAAGAGAAAATTTGGATACACAATAAGAAAGTTCATGTGAAGAGAAGTAATGTGGGCGAGAACAGCCATTAACAAGTTGAGGAGAGAGGCTCGGAACAGACCGCCCTCAGCTTCCTCAGAAGGAACCAGTCCTGCCAGCACACTTCACCTCAGACTGGTGACAATTGTGAGAGGATGCATTTCTGTAGTGGAAACCACAGCTGGTGATGGCAGCACTAGCATAATAATGCAATACAAAACCACACCAGTAAAATATCTGCAAGTGTTGTATCCTACTAACAAAATGGCATACCTATTGCCAGCCACCTAGGTAAAGAATATAACCATTATCTTTGCATCTCCCTGAGTGTTTCTGCCCTTCACCATCAACTTCTCACCTCCTTGAGGAAACCTTTCCAGGCAGGGGAGTGAATGGGAATCGGGGAGATGGGGGCCTTGCAAAGAGATCGCCATTTTGAGACACTTAGCTGAGAAGGTGACAGCTGGAGGGGGCAGTGGGACCATGGAAAGGCCTCAGTGTTTGAGCCACAAGGAGGTTCATGGACCTTACTATGTATGTGTCCTGCTAGAAAAGAAGCTCCAGGAGGGCAGGGCTTTCCTGTCCCTCTGCCACTCCAGGACTCAGCAGGAGGGACCTTTCCCTGGCTGGCTGCAGGAAGGTGTTAATGAAGGATGCCTTCTATCAGAAGCTACCTCCTTTCTACATTGTAGGCACCACATAAAATATCACTGAACGGTTCTGTGGGAAGTGTGGGTGGTTGTTCAACAGCATGAATGTTCTTAAAGCCACATAAATGTGCACTTAAGACAGCAAATTTTATGAGTGCTTTACCACAATCGAAAATTCCCACTGACATTAAGAAGAGATCACGAGTTGCTTACTGGGCACTGGTGTTCACGAAGCGCTTTACACCCATCATTACCTGTGGGTCTCACAAACTCCCTCTAAGGGGATGCACGACCTGTTTAATGGACCTGGAGGCAAACTCAGAGATGTTAAGTCATTGCCCAAGGTCACACAGCGAATCCAAAGCCCCTGCTGGGGAGCATCGCCACCCTTGACGATTAGCCGGTGATTGCGCTCCGTCAGCTAGACATAAAAGCTGGTCAGCGGGGTCGGAGTGACAATTACATCTCGCCGGTCCTCGCTAGCCACATCTCCCCGCTGGCGCTCGGACGGCTGGAGCAGCCCGCGCAGGGCTGGAGGCGGAGTCAGCGCCGCGCCCTCGGACAGGATTGGCCTTGCGGAGGGGGCGGGGCTACCGGAGGGCGGGGGCGGGGACGATCTGTGGCCGTAAATACGGCGCCACATGGCACTGACGAGGGTGGGCGGGGTGTTGGTGAGGTGCGGAGGACGCAGGCGCATTGAGGGTGGGCACCCCCTCAGCATCCTTGGACCCCGGCAGACGCGACTTCTCGCGAGAAGAGTAGTGAGAGGCGGGGCTCCGGCGATGGGGGGCGGGCCGGCGGCGGGGCGGCCTCGGGAGGGTTCGCGGGTCCCGAGGCGGCGGCGGCGGCTGAGTGAGGTGAGGGGAGCAGGCTGAGGGGCGCAAGGCCAAGGGCGCGAGATGAGGGGCGACTGCAGAAGGACTGGGTCCCGTGCAGTCGGGCGGGGGTCCCGGCGGCGGGAGTCGCGGCGGCGAGGGTCCTGGCAGGCGGAGAGGCGCCCTCTCACCCCTCTTGGACAGGTCCTGCGCGACCCGGGCCGAACATCTCGATCGATCGCTGTGTGACCTTGGCCCAACTCGCACCCTCTCTGAGCCCCACTCTGCGGGGCGGTGGTCTCTCCCCCAGGCTGTCGGGAAACCCTGGGAGGTGCGGGGGCGCCCACTGCTATACCTGAGGTCCGTGAGTGGTCTCGAGCGGTCACGCTGCAGTCATGGACCCGCGCCGGAGGCAGACGCACGTTTGTGCTAGAGGACTGGCAGCGGGGGTGGCTGCCCTCTTCTCACGCCTGCCTGTCACTTCCCTTCTTTGGCTACTCAGATTCTGGAAGGAAAATCAATAATTGTTCAGAGACGACAGATGCCGCAGTGCTCCAGAAAGTCCTTTCATAGAGCCTCCCGGACTGTGGACCGCCGGGTGGGACGCTGGGGCACCGATCCCCAGCTCCTTGAGAAGGGTGACCCTGCCTTCCAGCTCCAGAGCTCATCCATGCGCTGGGCATTTCCCTGTAGCCTAAACTTGGTTTCCCCTGCCCTTGACCACACTGTGGACCTCAGCAGATACAGGCAGGTCATGGTGAGCATCACTCAAATGACCCCTTGCTCCAGAAACAGCAGTTCCGCCTCTTCAGCGAAAGGAAGCCATGTATTAGTCACTAACAGTAGGTCTTATATCTTCTGTTTGGGCGCCTGGCCACCACAACATCGCTGGCAAACCATTGGCTGGAGCGGAGGTCTCCTCTGGCGCAGAGCACAACAAGCCATAGTGTTTCTGTGATTATTAAATTATTTATTTTATAATTTGATGCCAGAGAGACTCAGGATACCCAGGATGAATGAGAATTGTGAATTGCAAGCAGAGTGGATGCAAGAGCATGTAAGGGTACTGTCCCCTGAAGTGTGGGTTCAGGCTAAGTGTGGCTGGGAACACCTCAGCGGCTCAGTATTTGCCCCAGTTTAGCTCCTCTCTGTCAACATCTGGTGTTGGGAGTGTGAGTCAGGACTGTGCTCTGCGAAAAGGGGAGAAAACTGGAATATTAAGAAATCATTCGTGATGGCAGCTCTCCTGTAAATTTAGAGAGCGCCTGCAGGGAACTGCATAAATTCTTACAAATTAGTTTATAGGACTTTGGGATGATGCTTTCACGCCAGCAATACTGTTCACTGTTACTCCTTGTGTGCCTTTTTCATCAATTCAGTAAGCACTGAGCCCCTAATTGTTTGCAAAATACCAAGCTTTGGCTCACTTCTGGCAATATGGTTTGCCTGACTATAGTGCATGTGATCGGGGCTGTGATCTGGGTGTTTTCAAAGTGTAAAGAAGGGATAACTAAGATTATTTCTTGGTGTTGGAACCATTTCCCCCCACCCCCCGTCCCCCCATAGAGATGACGTAAGAGTTGGACCTTACAGGATGAGTGAAGATTGGGAAGAACATGCCTGGTGGAGGCAGCAGGGTGTGGAGATAAGGAAGTGAGTGGGCCTTTGGGCGGTATGCCTTTATACTCACTGTGGGGTGGGTGTTGAGGATTGGAGTGGAAATTATGCCAGAAAGAAGTTTCTGACCGTAAAGGACCTAGAGGGCAGGGAGTCTGGACTCTTGTTCCCTTTAGTGAGTAATCAAGGTTTGGGGTTCACTGTAATAAATCTTGAGTTTCAAAAAGCAATACCAGTGAGGCTGTGGTGGATGAATCTGGGCTATGGGAAACGGGGACTGAATTGGGTAAAGTTGTAAGGGTTTGTGTCTAGTTTAGTGAATGAGAAGGTGGAAAGGGGAATTGAGTTGGAAGAAACTACAGTGCAGTAGATGTGGGTGAAAGAGAAGAGGAAAAGGGACCAGATTTTTTGCTTGGGAAACCAAAGACAGCTGGAACCTGTGATATAGCGGCTAAAGTGGATTTGAGAGGGGTGGGGCATTTGATTTCTAGACTTGAGGTATTTGTGGGCCTTGATGGTTGAGGTGTGCTGACGCCAGGGATGTGAAAGTGCCCAATGGTGGGAGAGAAGTATGTGTATGGCTGCTGGTGGGCAGGTGATTCATTGTCCTCGCTGCACCTTCACCAAGGCCAGTGGGTGAGAGAGGCCCCAAGCTGAGTGTCATTTGTGGAAACAGACTGATTATTAATACTACTGAGACAAATACACACATAGTTATCATTTTAAAAACACATCTTTTCATTTGAATTTTTAAATTGTTTCTCTTCAGAGAGTGTCCCTTAGCTTCATACCTACTTAGTGGGTCTGTGGCCACAGCTCGGGCTGGTGGTTCTCATCACTTGCCAACAGATGTGTGCCTCTTGACAGCTCATACACTAACTCAGTATTTCCTGCTGTTAATCAAGGTGGTGGTTTCTGTAACTGTTCAGAGAACTTTAAAAATGTTTCAGAGATGGGAAGTACTAAGCCTCGTTGAGTAGGGGAGAGAGGTGCATTGCTCTGCAAGACATAAGGGGATGGAGCCAGAGGGTCCTGTCTGGCTCCCAGAGCACTACCAGCGGGCACGTTCCCACCAGACAGAAAGATAAGTCTTTGGGGAATGTGAATGATCCAGGAGCAAGAACCTAAAAATAGTGACATCAGGGGGACCCAGCAAGGAGGCCCAGCTGATGCCTCACTAATGAAGCTCGTAATTAACAAGTCATAGCTTCCAAGTGATTTTAATCCCCCATATTTTAAATAGGAATAGGTGACCAAGACATGTGAAGAAACCTGGTTTGGATGAGAGAGACCCTAACACCCTTGTAGGCATTAATGAGTGTGACCTCATCACCACTTAGTAGAAATTACAAGATAAAGATACCTCACCAGAACAGCAAAACTATTTAGAGTATACAAAATAATAGAAACACAGAGTCTGATTTAGGTTTCCATCATGCAAAGGCCAGTACGCTGTGTGATAATGTCACAAAGCATATTAAGGGAGCATGGAATATAAACAAACTAGCAAAAGGAATAAATAAAGTAAAAAAAAAAAACAAATGCATAATAAAGTAAAAAAAATAGAACTGCTAACCTGTTATTTGATAAACCAATTTTATCAATAAACTTGTGTCAAGCTTGCTGGAAGGGAGAGGATGGGAAGGACCAGGACATGGAGAAAGGTCCGGCCGCAGGCCAGGCAGGGCCAGAAACTTCCAAAGGAAGCCCCTGTGCCTTGGGGTGCTTAAAATTTGAAAACAGAGGAACAGTTGACTTCTGAGCTAAATTGTGCAGTGATGAAGAAAAAGGGAAACTTTAATTGGAGAAAAACCAGGGGAAAGTGAGGCCCCTGAGCAGTGGGACGGGTTCCCAGTGTACTGATGGGGTGATGGTGCCCCACACTCATGAAGTCTCAAAAAACACACTGGCACTAATTTATACACGGATGTAAGAGAATATAGTGTATGTATCAGGCAAGAAAATACTCTTTAAAAAGAGCCAGAAAGAGAACTCATGGGTATAAAAAATGGTAGAAATTTTTCTTTTTTCTCATTTTCCATCTCTTTGCTTTCTGTTCGACTTCCTGAGTTCCTCAACTTCACAGAACTTTCACCCACAGAACTTTTAAATTTCTTCTACTACAGAGAAGTAATACAGAGAACATGAAGTAATCTGCATGCTCTGTCTTCCAGTCTGGTCTATTCAGCTCCCTTTTTGGGCTTCTGAGTGTGGGAACAAGTTTGGATGGTGAGGGATGCTGGGTGATGAGGATTCAGGAAGTTTATTTGAAAGTGCATCTGAAACTGCTGGTTCCAAAATTTGGGTAATGTGAGTTCTTATGGGGAGATCCGCTCATACCTACTAGAAGGCATGCTGTGAAATTACAGAATTTTGGGACCAAGACATTTGTGCTAGTCCCTAGAAAGAAGAAAAATAGGCCACCAACAGGGCAGTACAGAGTGAAGCAGAATGGCTTGGGTGTTGTCTGCAGCAGCAATAGAAGCTGGAATACCAGAGAGCATGACTTTCAAAATAATAAAGAAATATATTTCTATCTTGAACTGTACACTCAGGCAAGAGAGGTAGAATAGAGGGATTTTCAGACATGCTCCAAAAACTACCTCGCATGAACTTTAAAGAAGTGAATGAGAAGCATGTCAGCCCCAGATGGAGTGGTAAGTGTAAGGGACAGAGCTGCAGTGTGCAAGGATTTCGTCAGAGCATAGGTGAGAAGATTCCTCTGTATGAGATGGAGTGGCCAGGGTGTCACCTGGACACTTGGCATGAAGAGCAGACATTGACATCCCATGATCTGAGCTGGCCAGAGGGCCTTGGAGGGATTTTTGGGGAAGATAAAATTGACAGAGCATCTATGTGCCAGAACATCTGGAGAGGAGATTTAGAGCTGGCAGAGTTGGGTCTGGATTAGTGATAAGTACATAGAAAAAAAAAAGGCAATGAAAACACAAGTCTGTTATTAGTTCCAAGGAAAATAAACTGTTGTGTGAAAAAAGAAAAATAATTATGGTGTACTACGAAGCTCCACTGTGAATAGCCTTTGCACAATGATAATAATTTTTGTAAACATTGAATTTTGTCTAATTGAACCGATGCTGTGCCGATCTGGAGAAGGTGTGGGAGGAAAAGGGCAGCGAATGAAAGGCCAAGGGGAGGAAAGAGACTTAATTCTACCTGCTCCTGTAGGAGTCAGAGGATGTCCTAAAAGCAACAATGGTTCAGCCCCCTGGGGGCTGTTTGTAGAGGTGGGAGGTCTGCACAAAGAGATCCAGCTAAGAAGGGTGACAGAGAAGGCTGGGGTTGGTAATGGAAAGAGGGCCAAGGAGCTGCCTTTCTCTGTGACAGGCTCCTGAGAACAATGGGTCCGTTAACATATACACAAAACATGGATTAAAAACAAAGTCACAATAAACTTCCTAGTCTCA